CCACCTCACCAGCACTTGATGTTCAGTGTCCCAGATTTTGGCCATTCTAATAGGTGTGTAATGATATCTCATTGTTGCTTTAATTTGCATTTCTCTCCAGACATACGATGTGGGACATCTTTTCACATGCTCAAGAAGTGAGCCAAAGACCTCAAATGACACCCCATCAAAGAGAATATACACATGGCAAATTTTCTTAATATACTTTATATACAGTTCCTTCTCTACTCTAATAGATCTCTTGAGGAGGAAAAGAAACTGGCGTTAGCAGAGGATGGTTTCGATCCATCGACCTCTGGGTTATGGGCCCAGCACGCTTCCGCTGCGCCACTCTGCTGTGGGGTCTGTGTTGTCATAAGTTAGTATTCAGCTTTTTTTGGACTTGTCTCTCTTTTTTTTCCTCTTCAACCTGCAATATTAAATGTCTTCTTTCCCTGTCTTTCTCTATTTCTCTGTCTCTGTCTCTCTTTCTCTTCCCCCAGACAAGTAATCAGTCTTTTGTAATGTGGTGGCCAAGGGCCTGAGCTAATTACTACGAAAAAAAAAGGTTCATAAGAAATGGAGAAAGATTATTTTGGATACACTTCTCTGGTGCACAAGGGCATACTTCAGTGTAATGTTTGTTACTGTGTACAGTGTGAAAGTGTACATTACATCTATGACAAATTATCTGCTTATATTCTAAGTGTCATGTTTTAAAGTCATTCTAAGTTACAGAAAATGATAGGCATTGATGAAATAAACTTGCTTTCTCTTTCTTCCAATACTATAATGTGAGGGGTCAGAATCTTTTGGAGTGTGTTTGAGTCCCAGGTAAGGAAAAAATGCACATTCCTGCCCATTCTTTTTAAGTTTTAGGGAATTCATGGAACTTCTAGCCCAGAGGACTTTCTCTGATGTAATAGAGAAATAGAGTTCCCTAGACTCAACTGGCAAAAACAAAACAAACAAAAAACTGTTCAGGTTTTCTTCCTCTGGAAATGGACTGACTCCTTCCGTGGTTTGCAGGAGGAGGGGAATCACAGGGAGCCAAGGATGTGTTTGTTATAGAAACTCTCTGGCACGGAAAAGCCGACCCAGTTGTGAAGCAGTGAGCTTAGGTCACCCACTCGAACCTGACTAGTTAGTTGTCTGAGAAGATCTGCTAAGCTTCTGACAGTTGGAGAGAGAGATGCAGATGAACAGATGGGTCTGGGAGCACAGAAGTGAGCGTGGAGAGAAGGCTGAGAACGTTGGGAATACGGACAAGTTAGTGAAGAGTGAAATTCGGGAAGTTTGCGAAAAGAATAAAAATCTCTTTATAGACCCAGAAATAAACCCCGAAGCATAGTAACAATAGTGTATACATCTGTGTTTACTTGTCTATTTATTCACTTTCTAAAGGTATTTTAAGGGCATCCAACGTTGCAGAAAACAGGGAATGTATCTTTTTCTTTCTATACATTTCATTTCATAGACCAATAACACTTCAAAGACACTAAAACAGTTGACCCCGACGTGATTTGAACACGCAACCTTCTGATCTGGAGTCAGACGCGCTACCGTTGCGCCACGAGGTCCTGTGAGGGTCCTAAGCTTCTCTACCTGTCAACCTGATCTATAGCATTAATTGTCCATACTCAGAGAAGACCACGCAGCTGGTTACAAAATAATGCCTGATTGCCTCCTGGATCAAAACGCTGTCCATCCAGTCACTTCCTGATTCTCTCTGCCTCCGAATTGCTTCGATTTTCATTGCTTCCTATTCAATTTCATTTCTTTTCTTACCTAGTTTTCTCTATATACGTCAAAACCAGACGTTTGCGGGAGTTTTGTTGTTTCGGGCTTTTTAGAAATAATAGACGTTCAGTCTATGAAGTCAGGCGCTTCCGGGTAGAGTAAAAGTGATAATGAATGTCCTTCCTCCTCCTAATCAAAGACCCTGACCAGAATTTTGAATTTGTTTCCAACGTTGACGGTAGATTCTCATTACATAGTAGTGTCTCTGTGAAGTGAATTGACGCGGGGCGGGCCAATTTAACGGTGTGCATCTCATCTGCGAGATAACAGCATCTCCTTGCACTCTCTTGTCCTTAGTTGAAATCATCGATTTCATACTGCTAGACTTCTTCCGAATCTGACAAGCGGATCTGAAACGGCCCCTGAGAAGAGAAAGAAATCTTTTTGGCCGGAGGAAGTAGATGAGTCTGGCACCGTGGTTTGGCTACTTAAAACGCCTGTCTGGGGAAACTGCACGCTCAGGTTTCCAATCCCAAAGACATTTTTACCAAGATCCAAATAGTGGAGAGGTTGCTTTGAACCCCTAGAAAAAAGACATTCTAAAAAAAAAAAATGATCCAATACTGTAAAACAGATGCTCCTTTCTCTGAAAATTAAGGTTTCCCTTTCTTAATGTTGAAAAATGAATTTGGGTTGGGAATTGTAAGGGATCATAAGTACTGGATGGAAGGAGCATGTGTTTGACCTCGTAGAAAGTGGAGTACTCCTGGTAGGTTATCTGCGGATATTCGCTTGCAGTCATTCCATGGTATCTTGGAAATAGATTAGGGGGCTTGGATGAGGAATGTATTGGAAGCCGGTAGCCCTAGTAGGTGAGATGAACAGGGCTTTCAGAAAATAAACCACCAAGGGTTTAGGAAGATCTGCAGCTGCTTACAGAAAGGAACGAGTCCACAGGTGTGATGCTGCCAGAGAATTTGATGTTATCAGAAAGTTGAACTTTATGTTTTCTTGACCTATAAAGTGGGAATAACAATAGCAGTACCTATTTTACAGGATTGTTTTGAGTTTATATATGTAATATGCTCTAAATGAATTTATGTATACTTAGAAGGGTTTCACAGTTTAAAAAAAAAAAGGTTGAGATTACATTAGAACCGAAATGTAGGGAATGAACCTAGTAGAACCCAGATTCCGGAAGGTTTGAGGCAGAACCACAGGGTGGAAAAGAAGTGTCGCAGGTTTCCAGATCCTGCTGTGTGTTAGTGTGGCCAAGAGACACAGAGGCCCCAAGACACCTTGACAGGATGTTGCCAAAGGATCAGCCCATGTCCCTGACAAGCCAAATAACACAGAGATATGGCCCTAGAGTTTAGAAGAACAGAGGCAGATTATTGCTTTGCTGGGCAAAGGCAACTCACAGCAGGCTAATACCTTCAAAACTGTGAACCCATCTTGGGACTGGGGCTTAGTGATTCTATAGACAAAGGGGTTGGAACATAAAAGGTGATAACAATCAACAAGGGTCTCTGATGAAACTTCCTTCTAAATCTTGATGAGTCTGGCATCATGGGACCTTCCAGTGATCTGGAAGGTCATCAGCCCATGACCTTCTATTATCTGCTTAGACTCATCTAGCACCACGGAGGAACTCTGAAGGGTGAGGCCATTCTCCTGAATTTATCATTCCATGACTCTCTACCTGAAGAATGACTCAGAAAACATGACTATAAATTTTAGTTGCCAGAGCAAAGCAAAAACAGCAAAGTCAACAACCTTAGCTTTCACATGGGCCTGAGGCTGGCAACAGTGTCCGGTCAGTCAGGTTTGCTGACCATTCTAAAAGCAAGCAGAAAGCATAAAGCCAAGAATTTGTTAGCCTAAGTGTGACCATTTTATCATCTTTCCTTTAAGGATGCAGAGGGAAAAAGTGGGTATTTATAGGGTTCCACGCTGAGAAACCAGTGTACAAGGATGTAGAGGCAGATCCCAAGTGGGCAGATGCCAGCAGGCGACTTCTTACTGGTACCTGGACAAGACAGAGGTCTTCCCTTCGCCCTCAGACTGAGATACAATTCCGAGAAAATGAAGAGCCCCCAAATTACTCGATAAAGTCCTGAATGGACTAAGTCAGCTTAGGTGTAGCCCGATTTGGTTACGATCAAGGTCCTGCCATTAAGCAGAAAAGGGCTGGGGACTGAAATAAACCTCAGTTGGTGTAAAAATAGACCTACAGATGTAACTCCTGAGTCAAAACCCCACGTATTTCAGTTCTTGGGATTCTGCACTGCACAGCCCTTAGCTTGGCTGTTTGTTTACTCCCCACTCCTTTCATACCGGTTGAGAGATGGAGGTTGTTTCCCAGGCACCTGCAGTGACGCACATTGGCCACCGGGGGACAGAAAAGCCTAAAGATTATTATCAGAGGGAAAAGGAGGCGGAGGCGGTGGAAGAAGCTGGGGAAGGGACAGGAGCCTAGAAGAGGAAGAGGGAGGGACGAGGGAGAGGAGGAAAGGGAGAGGGGAGAGTCAGGAGGAAGGGGAGGGAGGAGAGTGGTAGACTAGAAGGGCTGGAACGGGACAAGCAAGGAGGAGACTACCAACAAGTGTAAGGGGTGTTGCCCACAACAAGAAGTCTCACCAGAAGTGAGACGGCAGCCCTGCCCTCCACCTTCTCTGCCGACCCCAGCTCTCCAGTCCATTTCAGTGCACTCCTTTCCTGTGCCCAGAGGTCGCCGGTCCCGTCCAGGCCCCTGCCTTTGCAGCACCAGGGACTGCTTTCATTTTCTATGCATGGAATAATTCCTTGAGCAGGAGACCTCTCTGCCTGATGCAAATGCATCAGTGCCAATTCTGGTCTCCAAATACTTGGGAAGCAGGACTTTCCCTCTAGGAAGACTCTCAGACTCTCAGAGTCAAGCAGGAAAAGATCACTAGACTAAAAATCAGAAAACCAGTTAGCTATGACCTTGGATACATCAATTAAAGCATCTTAGCCTCAACAGTATTCTGTAAAGGGATAAGGAGAAAGGGCAGGGAACCAGATGAGATCAGGGATATTATGAATTTGAGAAAACCTAGGCTCTAAAATGTTTGGGTTGATAGGAGTAGTGGAGTTCCAGGGTGACTTGCTCTGGGACTACAGCAGGAGCTATCACCAATGGGTCTGAAGGAGCAAGGGGAGAGTATTTTCAAAGCAGGTGAGATTTGTAGCCATAGAAAAGTGTCCCGACAGAGCAGGGGCTCTGGAGCAAGATGGCAGCCACTGTCACCTGCTACCCAGTAGGGATGGAGCTAGGGGCATAGACATCCTGGAGTCTCTGTCCTTCCACCCTTTGGATCTTTTGCTGTTCTTGGTAGGTCCCCACCAGAAGCCAGACTGCAAAGATGGCTGAATCAGCACTAGAAGAGGTCAACAGACTGGAAAAAAGTACGGAGTAGACTGTGGTGGGGGAGGGGGAGATAAGTACATATTAAGATAAACAAGCCTAGACATCTCTTTTCAAGGATCTGCTGTCTAGAGGGCTAGCTAGATGTTAATAAATAACCACAATATTGGGTAAATTGGAGTAAGAGTTAATAGGGCCATAACTAATATTTACTGAGCATTCTGTACCGATCACTGCCCCCAAGGCTCCATTTCACGTGCACACCCTGGTTCCATCCTCACAGCCTTCCCAGGAAGCCATTACTACTATTCAACCCATATTGTAGAGGAGGCTTAAAGAGGTGAATATTATGCCCAAGATCACACAGCTAGTGAAGCCGGTGGAGCCAAACGTGAATCCAGATTGTGTAACCCTAGAAATTCTCACACTTTCAGCCAAAAGACTGTCTGTGCTCCTTGGTCAAGAGCACGGTTACAACCAGCATCTGGGTCTATTGGTCTTCAATGCTGCCATAGCCAGAGAGAGGTTCAGATTTTGAAGGGAAGCATTTATCCCACTGACACTGACCGAGGGGATTAAGAGTTGATGACTCCTTTACTCTGTAGCCTTCCTGGGTTCTACCTGCTTTGGTGCTGCATTTCCATAGCATTACCCATTCTACCTGCCCCCCGCAAAAATTCTCTTCTAATAAGAAAAGTGTACATTCTTCGATTCCATCCCAGACCAGCCTTGTTGCCTAGTACCAGCTCCTTGTCCCCATTGTCTCCTACCTTCCGGCAAATCCCTGTAGGGCTGAAGATGTGAAAAGAATTCATCAGACGTATCCTGCATTGTGCTTTATTTTTTGGTTTTGTTTTAATATAAAATTCTTTTTCTCCATCTTGTTCTCCACTTCCAGGTGCCCCAGCCACGTCACCTTCTCTCTCACTCCAGCAACACAGCAGATATTGCCAACAGGTCCACTGAGTTCACAGGCCTCATGCCAGGCGGTGTGAGTTCCAATTCAGCAGAGCTGTGGTGAAACTGGCCAACCCAGGTCTGTCTACGTAGGCCGATCTCTAGACCTGGCTCCTATCCCTGAAAGCATTAATATCTTACATCATAAATGTAAGGTAAATGGGGTTCACAGTCCAGAGTTCGCCCCCATCATAGTTGGTAACAGCACGGGGGGCAGGAGTGGAGACATGGCACCCTGGCCAGACCCACATCTAAGTGGAGTCCCCAGGGGAGCCCTGCCAATGGCAACTCCCAGCCCAGGGGTACTCCCTGGCCTCTGCTGGTGCTCCAGCCTGAGAGACCAGCCGTGGAGAGTCCTGACTGGAGCCTTGGCCCAGCCCAGTGTCTGAATCACAAAGTCATCCCAAGACCAAGTCAATCAGAAGAAAATGTGAGTGCCTGAGAATTGGCGGTGGGGAGACAGCCAGCAGGTGTGGACAAGGGAGATGGACAGTGTGAGTGTCAGGTCACTGGGCTCCTTAAAGGCCCAGGCTGTCTCGGACTCCTCTCTCTACTCCTCTGATCCTACCTCTCTGCTCAGCACAGGATCTGGCTCACAGCAAACAGACAGGGCTCTCTGCTTATCAGCTCAACTCAGCTTCCCTTGTCTCCCCAGGCCAGCTTCCCTCTGCCTGCAGCCTTGCTTGGATTCTCTGTTTTCTTATTAAAGCTCCAAGCAGAAAACAGCATTCATTCATCCCACAAATATTTACTGAGAGTCTCCTATGTATAAAGTACCCCGATTTAGCAAGTTAAAATGCAACGTATTTTACCTGGAGATCTACCAACCCTCAGTTTTAGGTGCTGGGAATCGAGCAGAAGCCAAAACAGCCCCAAATTTCTGTCTCTGAGAGGCATGACCCAACTTTAGGTTAGTCCAGTGTCCTTCCTTTATTCATCCCTGTCTCCACCTCTTCTCCCTCTTACTGGCTGGTAAGCAGCTCAGTGGGCAGGGAGTGACTCCTGATTTTCCAATCGAGGTGTGAAGGACAGTGAGCTCTCCGTCCCCTCTCCCCCACAGAGGTACAAGAGCTGCAGGACTCATCTTCTTCAGCCATGTGCTTGGCCAAGGACGGGACTCATCACCACCATGGAGGGGAGGCCTGTAGCTTCTCCACCAGGAGATGCCAAGTCAGAGGCCCTGAACACTCACCATTTTCCCAACAATGGGATTCCACTGAAGACACTGCTGGACAGAAGGAAGCAGGTGAGGATGCTGTTTAAAGGGCTGTGCTCGTGTGTAGTTCTCTCTCTCTTCGTTTCAGCCCCTTTGCAAATGGTCTGAATCATTTCTGGAAATTCCTCTTGGTTTTTTTAAAGCACTGATTAGGCAGGATTTCTTGGGAAATGCTCTGTTTATCAAATATTTGCTTGTGTAAAGCACCACTCCCTGCTTTCTGCTCAACACTGTAGGGGAAGACTTGTGAAAGACTTTTTAATGGTCCAAATATTTAATACTGGGTCCCAGAACCGTTTTATTTATTTTACTTAAGTACTTATGTATTTTCATGATGACTTTCACGGTATCTTGTTTTCCCAACCATCTCTTGGAAGATAACGGGGCAAAGCTGGGGTCACTCTCCCAGCCAGGCCCCTCTGCCACTGGGCTGGAACAGGAACCCCACAGAATCCCGAGGCATTCTCTGTGTGCTCCAGCACCACAGTGTTTGGCTCTTCCCTGCTTTTCTCTGCAGGAATAACACCCAGCACTTCTGGCTCAGGTGCTCTCTTCCTGAAGGACTTCCCTTGGGCAGCTGCTCAGACTTCACTCTTGCTTCTTCTGGGGCTTCTCCTGCTGGCTGCTCTTGGTTTTATCTGGAAACTTCACCGGGAGAAAGCGCGAGAATGTTGGACCAAAGGTAAAGCAATTAGAAGACCGAGGCAGTGGATCCAAAGAAGACTATGGATTAGACAGAGAAGGGAGAGGGCAAGAACAAAGCAGATCAAGGGGATTTGAACTTGAGGTTTTTCGTGCAGTCCTTCCTCCCTCAGTACCACCAACCCTATCCTTTTACTCCCCTCAAGCTGTGTGCCTGACTGTGCCCTTGCTTCCCCAGTTCTGGGACAGCTCCCAGGACTCACTGCACTCATAAGCCAGGAAGAGGGCTTCCAGAGGCCCTGTCCATATGAACCTGGCTTGTTTCCTATGGATGGTACTGATTCATTTCTTGTCCTTTTGCAGAAAAACTCCAAAGAGAACTCTGTAAGTTCTGTGCTTCCCTCTCCTGTATGTACGACTTGAGACCCTCCCTTGTGCAATGTATCTCATGAGGTTTCTTTGCTCCACTTCAGGCTGGAGGAAAGCCCAGAAGGTGGATGGTGAGTAAATTGGAATTTTTGTTTTTCCTCTAAGACTTTATCTGCTTCATTTAATAGGTAACTTAGATGAACCTGATTCTTTCCCCTGAGGCCTTGATCATTCTTACACAATCTGGACTTAACCCTTATAATCCCAATATCTCTGTTCACATACCATGGATGCCTCAAAGGTTATTCAAACCTGTGGCCAACACCGAATTCCAGTAGGGGTGGAACATAGCTCAGAGGTAGCGTGCATGCTCAGCATGCAGGAGGTCCTGGGTTCAATCCCCAGTACCTCTGTTAAAAAAAGAAAAAAAAGTTAAAAAAAATTAAAAAAAAATGAACTCCATCTCCTTTCCCGTTAAACTGCCCTTCCTCCTCTACCTGCTGCTGTGTAATGCTGCCACCACCCGCCCAAGTGGGCACCTTTCTTTCCTCCCTTCAGGACAAGTCCTTTTACTGTTCAGTCCAGGGCCTCTTCTCAGGCATAAACTACCTCCCTCAATTTTTCTTTCTTCTCTTACCGCAGATTCCTGGAGTTCATTTACCAAGGCCCTTCTCTTAACAGTAGGCTGCTTCCATTCCTCACAAGAGCTACTGCTACCCTTTTCATTTTAAGACTTTCAGTTTACAACTATGGTTACCAAAGGGGAAAGGGTGCAGGGAAGGAATAAATTAGGAGTTTGGGATTAACAGATACACATTATTATATATAAAAGAGATAAACAACAAGGACCTACTGTATAGCACAGGGAACTATATTCAACTTCTTGTCATAACATATAATGGAAAAGAATCTGTAAAGAAAATATCTATGTATATATATGTACAACTGAATCACTTCACTGTACACCTGAAACTAACACTGTAAGTCAACTACACTTCAATAAAAAATAAAATCTAAAAAAGGCTTTCAGTTTAAATAAATATTAGGAAACAGACAAGAAATCTGGAAAACAACCAGCATAAACAAAACATTATTTCTGCAAAGTTTACAGCATGACCATAGTCTAGAGTTTCAGAGTAAACTCACCAAAACAGATGTCTGATTGCATTCCTCTCAATTCCCAAAACTTCTGTGGCTTCCCATCACCTTCTGCATTCTTATTGGTGCGGGGAAGGCTATGGACATTTGTAAATTCTAAAAGAATTTTCAATTTAAAAAAATTGTCTTAATATAGATTTTAATCTAAACAAACACAACCTAAGCGGATTCTCTATCACCAGTTTAACATCCTCGTAATCAATTATTGCTGAGTGATTCCAGGTTCCAAGCTAAGTTCATAATTGCATTAGTAACAAATGAAGTCCTTAATGACAGATTTTAACTTTTAATGCTAATGTTTTTAAATTGGCTCCCTCAGGAGTTTGAAGATATATTTCCCAATGTATTTGGGAATAAGATTTTTGTCTGACCAAAGTTTTTACAGCAGTTAGATGAAGTTCAGTCCATGCACTTTTCATCTCTGCATTGCAAGCACTTGATGGTCCAGCCCTATTTCTGCCCGATCCCTGGACATTCCCGGACATGCCCAGCTCCACACTGGTCTAACCACACCACCTGCGGTGCCTCAAATACAGCATGCAGTTTTCTATCTATTTCTGTGCCCCTTTCCTCTGCCTGTTCACCACACCTGGTTGACCTTGTTTATTCTACTCATTCAGACAAACCAGGACAGGCTCCTAAACTACTTTGAAATTCTATTTTTCCAACCTCAAAATTGATTTAATTACAACTACTATATTGAGCAGATGCTAGGAAATGAGATCAAAGTATGGAGAACACCCAGTACAGAAGGCAGCACGCAGTTAAGTTCAGTGAACACTAGCTGTGATCCTCATCACCACATCCTTTTCCCACGACTCTGAAGGTGAAGCAACCCCCATCTCAGAGAGAAACTAGAAGGGAGGGGCCAAACTTCCTGCCCCATGCCCTGCACCTGCCCTTTCTGACCTGTTTGCTCTGACTTCAACAGAGTAGATGTCTTTTCTTCTTTCTGAGGCTGTTCCCTCATTCTCATCCTGGACCCATCACTCTCCAGTTTCCTTCAGGGCTTCTCTATTCAGTTCATTTAGTCATTCAGTTAGTCATTCATTTACCAACTCAACAAAGATCCATGACCATTAACTATGTGCCAATTACTCTTTTAGGTGCCAGGGGCACAGAAATGAACACAACAGGAATGCGCCATTCACAAAGCACCTACCTTCTAGAGTAAGAAGAAAGAAAAAAAAAAAGAAATAGTGGAATATACAGTTTGGCACATGATGATATGTGCCTGGGAGATAAGAGAATATTGCACTGGAAGGTGCAATTTAAAACAGGGTAATGATTTGTACACTTGTAACTTTTAATATTTGTACATAAACACTTCAATAAAAAAATATAAAATAAAATAGGGTGATGATGAAGTAGGGAAGCAAGCCACAGGAATAGCTAGGGAAAAGCATTTCAAGTAGAGAGAACCACAGTGCCAAAATCCAGAGGCAGAAGCTCATTGGTTTCTTTGAAGAGTAACAAAGGGGCCAGGGCAGCTAGAGGACAGGGAGTGACCAGGAAAACTGGAGGGAGTATCAGGGGGTTTGGAGGACCTTGAAAGTCAACGTGCTGGCATTGGCTTTGCATCTGAGAAAGGAGCCACCAATGGGTTTTGAGCAGAGGAAGAACAGAACCTGAGTTATGCTTTGAGAAGTTACTTTAGATGCTAAACTGAGACTAGGCTCGGGGGAAGGGTAGGAGGAGCAGGATAGAAGCCTAAAGGCCAGCTGGGAGCTGCTGCAGGGAAACCAAGGGTGGGTGCTGGAAGTGGTGAGAAGGGGTCAGTGCTGGATTTATTTTTTTTAAAGGGTAGAAAGACTTTGCTGATAGATTTCGATGTGAGGTATAAATAAAGGAGTGGATCAAGGATGACTCCAAGGTCTTAGTCCTAAGAAACTGTAAAGATAGAATTGTCAATTACCATGACGGGGAAACCGAGAGAGAAGCAGGCAGTGGGGGCAAGGGGGGGAGGTAGCACAGAATCGGAAGTCAGGATACATTAAGATGAGGAGCCTATGTGTGATCAAAGTAGAGATGCAGAGGAGGCAGGTAGAAACCAAGTGTGCAGCCCATACAACAGGTCAGCTCTAGAAATGCATTCTTTTTGCTCCTCTGTATCTTTTTCTTTTTTTGATGACCTTGCATAACTGTAAATGCCTTTTTTAGATTAAAAACATCTTTTTAATTGGAGTAGAGTTGATTTATAACATTGTGTTAGTTTCAGGCATACAGCACAGTGATTTAGTATTTTTGTAGGTGCTATTCTAAGTCCTACCCAGATAACTTCAGTAGCAAATGTTAGTCACATCTCTATCCTACAGATGAAGAAACAGGGACATTGAATGGTTAATTAACCAGCTTTGAGTTTCTTGGCTAATGAGTCGTGGATAACAACATATTGGGGTAGAGAGAAGAGCCGTGAGCTAATTGACAATAAGCCATAGTGCCCAGAATACACTAGCAGCTTCCCAGGTAAAGGTATAAGACAAAAAAGTGTAGGAGTCCTTTATAACAGCAAGAGGTGACATAGAAACTATGAAAAATAGATGCTTCCTGCAGAGATGAACGCGATAAAAGAGACAGATTTCCAGGCTGTTGGCCAATCTTACTGCATGCAGGACAGTGTACGAGGTCTTGGAAAAGATGCCAGAGAGGACAGGATCACCTTCTCCCAGGTCAGGCGCCTGACCATGGGAACGAGTGAACCATGACCACAATGAACAGAAGAGTGAATCCAGCATAGTTCTGTCCTGTTTTCAGGGCTGTGCTCCATGTGATGGCAGCCTTCACAGGCATTTGCATCAGCTGGTGCCTTTCAGCTACTGAGGCACAAAGTCATCTAATTTGGGGAAAGAGGAGAGATGAATAAAGAGCTCCCAGTGCCATCCGAGCCCTTACTTAGGAAACAGGAAGGGGAAATAGAAGAGTACATTTCATCTGACTTCCCTCTGCCTGGACACCATCCTTGTGAGGAACATGAGGGAAGGCAGCCAGAACACAGAAAGGGCGAAGCAATGTATGACTCCAGCCAGGGAGCGCTCACCTCTCTGTTTTCTATTGCAGACTGGAGAAAAGCTCGGTCCCATGCTGGTGAGTGACTGTTTAATTCTTAAGGTCTCAGGCTCAGGACTCCATTATAAAAAAAAAAAAAAATCTTACTGATCTTTTTCCATCTCCTAGCTCCAAATAATGGCCTGGCTGGGTGGTACCTGTACGGAAACCCGGGGAAGATTCACATGGCCTCCAGGTCAAATGCTATCCCAATCTCTGTTCAGCATCTGGGCCTTTTTTTCTTTCCAGCAGTTTAAACCTTTTTTTTTTTTTCCTTCTTAAAGTGCTCCTCATCCACTTTCTGTCTTGGGTTTCCCTACACCTCAATATTTTCAGCATCATAGACCTAAGAGTACAATGGGAAAGCCTTCATTCAAATGCCATTCAGTCTGTAGTGGGTAATGTGCATCTTAGAGGAGATCTAGCGACTCCGTCCACCTCAGCTGCTCTCCCCTCGGAGCAGAGGTGCCACTTTATAACCAGTTCCCCCAGTGAAGAACCCTAAAAATAAGGGATAAATAAAATCGAGTAAATGGTCTTTTAAAATTACTAACATTAGGGGTGGAGGAATAGCTCAGTGGTAGAGTGTGTGCTTAGCATGTGTGAAACCCAGCACTTCCATTAAAATAAAATTAAAAAAAAAGGAAAGTTGCTAACATTTTTTAAGCAGCTACTACTATACACCAGGCGCAGGTCTGAGTGCTTAATGTATATTCTTCCACAGCCCTAAGAGGTGTGCTATTATCATGGCCATTTACAATGGAAGAAATTAATCCACAAAGAGGGTAAAGAAAATCTTGCTTCAAATCACACATCCAGGAGGTGGTGACACTGGGATAAAAGTCCAGGGAGTCTGGCCCCATCAGCTATGCTCCCTCCCCTCATCCTGTGGTGCAGGTCTGGAATAGATCTACTGTGATCCCTTGTCCTGAACATGAAGAAGTCTCAGTAATTTCAAGTAATTGGTGCAATTGAAAGACTTTCTCTTTGAAGCGGTATTATTTGTTTCTTTGTCTCAAGATTGAGTTCCTTGACAGGGCAGGGCCTGTGTTTTACCATATGAGAGTGCTCAGTTTCCAGCACGTAGAAGAAATGTCCATAGAAACAGTCTATACAGGGAGTTGACTTTGGGTCATGATTTGTATTTGTCAGGGCAGGCTAACTGTTGTAACAAAAGACCTCAATATCCCATTAGGTAAACATAATAAAAGTATATTTCTCCATCTCTTCAGTGTTCAGGACAGATCATATGGGGATGTGGGAGCTTTGTTCTATGTCAACCTAGGGCCTCACTCTACTCTGTATTCAGTCAGAAAATAGCAGAAAATGGAGTAGAAATATTATGCAGAAGGTTTCTCCTGGGCCAGGCCTGGAATTGGCCAGGAATCAGTGAACACATAAAGTTTCTCCCTTACGATGCTTCTAAGCTATGAGAATCTGGGACTGTTTGTTAAAGATGGGTATCGATTAGATCCGGGATTTTACAATTGGCCAAAAATCTCTAGCCAAGTAGCCCTCCACACAGCCCTCTGGGGCTTCAGGTTGGCAGAGAGGCATGGCTGGAGGCTGTCTACAGGACCTTCCTTAGCCCTTCATTCTGCCAACATTATCGAGCATCCATTGCAAGCGGGGTCTGACAGCACTAAATGGTGAGGATACAAAGATGGCCAAACATAGTCTCTACCTTCTCAGGTCCTTCTCTAGAAGAGGAGGGAAATATGAAATAAATAATAATAGTGAGGTGGCATGAGAGGGGCTTGAGAGGGTGGGGTGGGGAGCTGGAGGTTCATGATTAGCCACCCCTGCTCCCAGGGACCTGGGGCCTCTGGATTCAGGGAATCTGGATTAGCTCCCCCTGGTAAGTTTCTGAGCTCTCCTGGGAGCTCTCTGAGGTGTTCTTCAGGACATTTGCGGACATATTTATCTCTCCAGCTATCTTGTGGAGGAAGGAAGGGAACTTTATGGGTTCAGACCAGCTTCTCTCCCCTTCTTCCCAGTCACTGAGTGTCCTGAGATGCCAGAGGTGACCAGGTGTCTCTTCTCGCTCACTCTTTCTGCAGCTCACGTGACTCTGGATCCAGACACTGCCTACCCTGAACTCTTTCTGTCTGAAGATCACCGGAGTGTGAGGCGGAGAAATACGTGGCAGGATCTCCCCGAGAGAACTGGAAGGTTTTTTTTTGACCCTTGTGTGCTGGGTCATGAGTCCTTCTCTTCGGGGAGACACTACTGGGAGGTGGACGTGGGTGACAGGACTTACTGGGAGCTGGGGGTTTGTGAGGAAAACGTGGAAAGGACATGGGGAATCACAAAGTCGCCTCAGAATGGATTTTGGGCCATGGAACTCTATGCTAATAAGTATCAAGCCCTCACCTCCCCTCGGACCGCCCTCCCCCTGGGCGAGCCCCTGAGCCGGGTGGGGATCTTCGTGGACTATGAGGCTGGGGATGTCTCCTTCTATAGTGGGGCTGACGGGTCCCACATCTACACTTTCCCCCAGGCCTCCTTCTCTGGGCCCCTAAGGCCTTTCTTCTGCCTCTGGTTCTATCACCCAACCCCTCTGACCATCTGCCACTGAGGCCATCTGTCCCCAGACTTTCTCTCAGTTGAATGTCCAGGGGAGAACTCAGCACTGGGGTGGAGGAGCTGCTTCTGAGGACAAGGGCCCAGGGCTCCAGCCAAGCCAGCAGTGAAGGCTGAGCCCCTCTGATCTTTGCTGTAGATAAAGGCTGGGGACAGTTTATAATTCTCCAGGGCTAAGTGGCGCAGAGGACCAAGAAAGGCAATGTGACCCTACAGAATCTTGTCAAGAGGGCCTGTCTGCTGTTGCCATCCCAGCTGGAATGAGAAAAAGAAACCCCAAAGAAAGCAGAGACGAGATACTGATAGAAAGACTAGCAGGGCGAAGAGTGACCTATGAAATTGAGCTCCCGTAGGAAAGAAAAGAAAGGAAAAGAAGGAAAAGAAAAGCCAGTGCCCACAAGCAGTGTTTGTCGTTAATGCCTGCATAAAAGCAGGAAGCTGAATCTGAATGGGGCTTGGCTGTTTCCTCAGTCTTTTCATACATGGACTTTATTTCATTTTGACTCACAAATAACTGTGGGAGAGACTAAATAAAGTGCACAGAGAAAAGCCACTTCTCCAAGTCACCCTGCTGGTCTGGAACTTGATGCCGCCTTCAACATTCTGACAGCTAATGCGATCATACCACCTCTAAGAAGACAATCATTCCTTATAAGGGCAATCGCAATCGCCCTTTCAATGACATTTTTTTCATCCCAGATTTTTCAAGATTTCTTTTCCAGTTTGTGTATTTGTTTACTGCTCTTTCCCCTAAATATTTTCTGACCTTGAAATTATTTTACTTCATCAACAGTTAAGCGCATATTCTTTACTTTTTTCTGTGCTTATACAAATACACACAGTTTTTCTAATAAAAATCAGATTATATATATTGTCCTATGATGTGCTTCTTTTACTTAACACCAAATCTTAACTACTAATCTAATGTCATTTATAATCAGGATGGGTTTCTTTCTTCCCTGTTACAAATAATGCTACTATAAACATCTTTGTATGTAAATCGTCTTGCATATCTCTGGTCACTATCACAGAATAAATTTCCAAATTGTACTTGTCATTAGGATAAGTTCTTGAAAGTGCAATTGTACAAAAGGGACTTGAATTATTATTATGTACATGTCTACCTATTTTTTACAAAAGGAGTTTCTGTATACATTTTGTTATCGGTATCTATCAGGCTTATCGCCTAAAGTTAAGATTAGAAGCCTACCCTTCAGTTTTGTATTTCTTTGGCATCAAACCCAGGCATCTCACACTCCTCAAAGGATGGTCCAATCTATCAATTCTAAGGAAGATCAAATTTACCTTTTACTGCACATACATTTTTATGTCTTCATCTGTATGAAGCACCGTTGTAAGAAAATTGCCTGAATTATCTCATTTCATCCTCACGACAACAACCCAAAAGACAGGTGCTATTATCACCCTTATTTTACAGATCGGAAAACTAAGGCACAGAGAGGTTAAGTAATTGGTCCAAGATCACACAGCTAGTATAGTTCACGCAGGCAACCTGGCTTCCGATTCTATGGTTTAACCACTCCATAATGCTACCTCTGCCACCAGTTTTATCTTCAGTGCCTGATACCTACTAGACGTCAGG